AATGTTGGAACAGAGGCAATAACTCAAGAGGAAGAGATTGGGCCATGGAGGGTCTGCAGATTCTGTCATGTTTAGCGGATCCAAATCTCAAGAACCAGGACAGCATGGTAGAGATAAAAGTACTACAGCTTTATTTTTTATTCTTTGAACAGAGATGCACCACAGATGTGTTAGTGTCTAATCTGTTTCCCCCCAGAAAGATTCATCCTTTGAGATTTCCCCTTCTAAACCCTCCTTCCTCAGCCCACTGTTAGTGTGCTTTGACACACATCAAAGAGTTCTTTAAACTTTCTGCTTTTCCCCATCACCCATATCAATCTATCTAACCCAAGAAGGAAGGTGTAACCTTGTTGATCATCAAAGTCTTATTCTAGGAAGTAAACAGAGTCATAAAACTACAACCTCCCCTGGTATTGCCCATCTATGTCCCAGTATGCATTTTATTTGGATTACAGCCCCCTTTTCAATTCTCCTTTATTTCTCTATATCATGGGTAGGCAACCTTTCCCCTTTAAGGGCCAAAGGACTTCAGCTCCCAGAAGCCTCAGCCATTTTGGCCAGTCATTCCATGTTGGCCAATAGCTCCTGGGATTCTGGGAGCTGAAGTCCCTCGGCCCTTAAGGGGAAATGTTGCCTACCCCTGCTCTATATCGCTACTTCACCATATAATTTATCCTAATGTTCTCATATCCTTTATCATGACAGGTCCATACACTTCTGGAACTTACAGTCTACCACCTCCATGATTAAATTCTCATACTTTATTAACCCCCCTGCTTTATCTGGAAAATGTTCATGAAACAACCAAGTTAAGTACAGAGTGTCCACATATCTGGTATACACCCATTCATTATGAGATTCAAAAGTCTCCTGACACTCCAGAGTACACTTGATCTTGGTGGATGGCTTGTGTTTTTCATTGGGTCCCCAGGGTAGATTTTGGTCTTTAGCAAATGGGCAGTGCTATCTGGGCAATGTCCAGAATAAGCTTCCTGTAGAAGTTAGCAAATCCCAAGAAACTTTGTACCTGCTTTTGGGTCTTTGGTGGGGCCCAGTCCAACACTGTCTGCACCTTGGCTGGGTCCATTTCTTTTCCTTGAGTGGACACTCGATACCCCAAGAAATCCAATTTGTTGGTATGGAATTTGCATTTGGACAGCTTAACATACAACTGATTGTCTAAGAGGCACTTCAGCACCTCTCTTACCAACTTCACATGGGATTCCACATCTCGAGAATAGATCAACGCATCATCCAGGTAGACTAGTAGGCTAAGCAAATGGGTGGTACAGGGTTGCCCCGGGAAGCTGCGGATTGGGGCCGAGGTATCCGCACACCTCGGCCCTGCAGCGCAGTGTCCCAACCCCAGGAAGGAGTGCTAAAATAGCGCTCTTTCCACAAGACACCGAAGGTGTGCCACAAAAGGCTGCCAGCGCACCTTCAGTGCCTCTTCCGCCACAGTGTTTGTGGACACTGTGGCAGACAGACATCATCGGAGCGCCGGACAT